AGCTAGTTAATGTTGGAAAAGATACCTTCTCAGAGACTCCAGGTCTTCGTGGGGGTGGGGTGGGTAACCGTTCCTGCTTTGCAGGTTTGTGGTGATAAAATAAAATAGAGAATGTCTGTGTGTCTGTGTATGGGTGGTGGTGGTGGTAGTGGTGGAAGTAGTCCTTGAGAGCTTGGACATTCTTCTAGAAGGCCTGTCTCAGTGAGGAGAAGCTGCCCCACTCTAGTGTCCTTCACAACCCTCCTTGAAATATTGAACTGGAACTCAAGATCTTGTACATGCCAGGCAAAGGCTCTCCCGAGGACCTATAACCCCAGCTTTTTGTATTTTTTCTTTTTAAAAACAGGGTCTAACTAAGTTGCTCAGGCTGGTCTTGAACTCCTGTAATGCAGACAGACCTTGAATTTGCCATCTTCCTGCCTCAGTCTCCAAAGTAGTTGGGATTATAGGCCTGAGACACCAGGCCCAGTTAGCCTTCCATTGCCTTCACCTGAGGTATGTGTGCCCCTCACACTCTCTCACTTTGGCCACACCTCAGTGACCTGCCCCACTGTCCTCCTGTGCTTCCTCCAGGGGATAAAGGTGGCAAGGGCAAAAAAGGGCCCAGAGGAAGTTGAGTTCCCATCACAGCCAGGTCCTGGTATGTAGGACACCCTCTCCTCCCTCCACACCTGCTGTCAGTGCCACACCTACACATTTCACCAAGAGATGGGTATCACTCTCAGAAAAGCATTTCCCAGCCCAGCCTGTCCTGGAGTCCCACTGAAATATAACCTGAATTTCTCTACCCTGTCCTGCTGAGCAGCAGTTAGCAGCCACTGATAGATTCCGGGCAAGTCTGTGAACACACAATGGCTGCCTGTCACCCAGGGCCTTGCTTCCTTTCATCCCTGTTGAGCAAGGAGGCTGCGGTTGGCATGGTAACCTTCCCTGTAAAAGTTGCAGCTTTCAAGGATGTTTTTCAATTCCAGCGGGGACACAGATCCTTCTGTGGGCCACAGAGTGGCATGTAGCTGTGTCATCCAGGCCTCCCCAGGAACAGAAATGAGGTACTGGTAGAAGAAAGGAAGGGCTGGTTCCCAGAGAGCCCAGGGCTCAGCTCAAAGGAGATGCAGCTTGGATCTCCTTTCCTGTGTGTCAGTCCTCAGCCACCCAGAGAAACCAGTTCTAAAGCCTTTTTGGGGATGTCATTGGTGAATGATAAACATCTGACTACACAATCAGGCACCCAACCAATTGAATGGCACTTATGACTTCCATTACTGTAAAATAAAACTGATAAATCACAAAGACTCCAGAATTCAGTGATTTTTTTTCTCTTCAAACATCTGTGGAATAAATGAATATTGACTATCTTCTGCATCCCAGTTTTCCACATGGTATATCAGCTAAGTCCCTGCTCAGTTCTATGAGGTCTTACAACACTTGTTTTAGAAATTGGGGAGTTAGAATTTGGGCAATCATAAACAGTGTGGACCAAAAATCACATGGCCTAGCAGCAGCATTAGGACTTTGACCTTCAGAGCCCCTACCTGTCCTGGAACTTGATTTATAGACCAGGCTGGCCTCAAACTCACTGAGATCTACCTGCCTTGCCTCCCAAGTTCTGGAACTAAAGTTACGTGCCACCACCTCCTGGATTCTCTGTCTCTTCTATTATTTCTTCTTTGTATTTCCTTTTGTGCTTCAAGCAAGCGAATCTTCCCCCAAAGCACTGACTTTCTAGAGAGAACTCAGGAAAGACAGGTAGCTGCTATCTCTGGCCTCAGTGTTCATTCCTGTGTGGCCCCATCTGGCTCCAAAGCGCCCTCAAGCCAGCTGCCTTGTCTCCGTCATAGAGTTTTCCCAGCAGAGGGCAAGCCTAGGAAAGTGGTTCCCAGCTGCCAGCTCCATCTAGGCAAAATCACATTAGAGCCAGCCCGGCTTCCCTCAGTCCCTCCAGAGATCTCAGTCAGCTCCCCCGCAAAAGGGAGGGGAAGAGAGGCTCCAAGAAAGGGAGGAAACTTCCACTTCTCTCACTGGCTAGGAAGAATTGGGCGTCAAGCTGCCACCAGTGTAGGTGGGGAAGATTGATGCTGATGCCGATCCTCGGGGGATTACAGAAATCTCTAAAATGAACCTTAGGCAGAGCCTGGCTCAGCAGGGGCTAGAGAGAAGGCCTGAGTTGAAGGATGGAGAATCATGCCTCACAGGAAGGGGATGCCCCTAGATCTCCTCCTCCTTCTTCCCTCTCCTGCCTTTTCCTGATGGTATTAAACTGTCGGTATGTCTTCCTCCAAAAATGACAAGCCTGCTACCAAGTCTGATGACCTGAGTTTGATCCGTAGACCCTCAGGATCTGATTCCCACAAGTTGACCTTCATACCTACACTAAATAAATGCATGTAACTTAAAACTTTAAAATGAGGCTGGGGTGGGGATGTTGTGCAGTGTAAGAACCTGCTTTCCTGTGCAAGTCTCAGAGAATATGCCTGCCATCGCCAAATCCACAAGTGGCAGAGTAAAGGCTCAGAATTGGGATCTATGTGACTCTGGAGCACTTGCATGTGACTGCTTTGCTGGCTGCTTCTTGACTCAGTAAGGCTTCTTCCCTCCTTTGTGGCGCCTGCTCTGAAAGGCTAAGACCACAGTAATGTGTTCATAGTGTTCACACAGGTAAACATCTAGCCAGCATTCTCTCAGCTTCATTCAGACAAACCGTTGGAGCCCTTACTAAATGCATGGGCCTGAAGAGGCAAGGGGAGGCCTTGGGCCTGAGAAGCAGCTGTCAGTCACTGATTCCTGAGGCAGGAAGGAGCCTTGAGAGGGCTCCCTTACCACTCCCACCCTTGAGAGTTCCCGAGAG